GTACCCACTTCCCTAAAGGTAAAACAGGGAACTAGTTGGGGTGATATTAACTAGTAATGTCCAGCCGCCCGTTCCGTCGAAAACCAGCCCTGGGACATTATTCCCAGTTTACAAATATGCCCCATTCCTGCTGGTTAGCGAAAGTTCCGGAATCTCCCGGCAGAGGGGTTTCACAACGGACTAGTTGTTTTAGTTCACCAACCAACGCCCGAGCCCGGGAAGCCTCCACTAAACCAGACTTAAAAAGCTGGTTCTTGCGGGACCGTGTTAATGAGCATGCGCAAAAGGCTCCGCGGACCCGCGCGCGTCCCTAACGGACAATGGGCCGCGGTGCAATTGAGAAGTTCGGCTTCCCTCGGCCACACTCGGCTTTTAGCCCCGCCTCTCGTCCCGCCCCCCCCAGCATGGACGTTGATTGGCGAACAGCGGCCTATAAAAGCTCGAGGGCGGGCGCACGATTCTCAGGCACCTGTGCGGGTTGAAGACTTTTCTGCTCCGGTACGTGAAGCCGAGGCGAGCAGAGGACGCTTCATCCAGCGGCCTGCCCTCCGTCTCCAAGCTCGTGCACCTTCTCCGTCATCCTAGACGACGTGGACGTGACAGGGAAGGTGGCAGGTCGCTGTGTCCGGAAGGCAGTTTGCGGGCTCCGGGGCGCCACACCTTTGCTTCTGCTGCCTCATCGGCTCGAGAATTCCCGGTTCGGCACTGAAGCCTGGCTCGGGCCTCACCTGGGGAAATTTCCGGACGCCCCTGCTTTCCGTTCACGGAGCCGGGTCCCGCGGGTTCCCACCTCGGGGCCTGACCGCCCACACCTGTACCTGGCAACCTGGAAGGTGCGTACTAAGTGGGGAATGAATGAATGAATGAAGCTTGCGGTGGGGGGGCGGGCCTGGTTTTGTGCCCCTGTACGGCCTGCTACAATGGTAAGAGCATTCGCTGGTCCAGAGACTTGGGCTCCAGTTCTGGCTGTCCCATTCACTGCTGCTGAGCAAGGTCCTCCTCTGCTCTGGGCCCCGAATTCCTCACGTGAAAAGGAGAGGTTTGGACAATGCGATGAATGCATACTGAACACCAACAATGAGCCAGACATTGTGATAAGTATTGGGGATACAGGTGAGCACCACAGGCCCAATCCCCAAGCATACTGTATGGAGGAGAAAGATACTGAACAAACTCTCACAAACGCCTCGTTACACATCTACTCTAAGCAGCAGTAAGACCGGGAACTTTCAGCAGACAATTTAATACAGCCTGGGGTGGGCTTCTGAAGGCTTGAAGGAATAGAATTAACTGGGGTAGGTGGTCAGTGGCCTGGCGAGAGTGGGGAAAAGCAAGTGCGAAGAAATGGAAGGTGAACACGCACATTTTTTTTTTCACTGTAATTGGATGTCCTAATAACCCTCAAAGTATACAAGCCAGAGGAGTGGAAGCTCTGGTGAGTTAAATGGAATAGAAGTTGAAGGTTTCTTTGGAAGCCCCTAACTATTTGAGCAATCCTGTGAAAATACGCAATGGCCCCTGACCCTGTGTCCTGATATAAGTGTTCTGGAAGATTGTTGAATCAGACCTAACAGCTCAGGTTCATGATGCAGGCTGTGTGGCCCCTGCGATCTGACTCTAAGGGGCATCTCCTGGCTGCTTCAGAAGAACTAAAATTACCAACGCTCTCTTGAAAGTGGCCCATGTCTACCTCGAGCTGAATTATCCAGGCTTCTTTGCAAAGATAAGATGGAGAAGAGGCTTGTACGGTGACAGAAAAAAATCAGAGGCTCACCACTGTACCTTACAAAAGTGCACGTGTGGAGGGGATGCTGAGTCATGGTGGAATTACTGGAGACAACAGAGGTGGCAGGCCCAGCTTTGCCTTCCATTAGCTGTGCGAACCTGGCAGGCACTCAGACTCTCTCAGCACCAGTCTGATGTGTGACCAGGGCGAATTCCGTGCTCTTGACATGGTCAAGTTCAGAATGGGAAAACCGGTGAAAGTTAATTCTAAATTATAAAGCACAATGCGACTAAGCCCATAGACACCTGGCTCACGTTGTTCCCTCAGAATTTTATTGTATACGCTCCTTCAAATTATGGGGAGAAAGGATTCGACATATTTTATTTGAATTTGTAGCAATATACCAAGTTGTTTTGTTGCATAAATATTTTGAATTCTTTCATTTTAATTAGAGTGTTTCTCTTTTCCAAAAGGTGGTTTTAGAATTTCATGTGTGGTTCTCTCATCATTTTTAGAAGAAGAAGAAAAAAAAGAGTAAAACTGTTGACAGGAGCTTTGGATTTTTTTATCCCATTGTGTAACACATTCAGTGACAATATGGATTTTATAAAAAATTGTTGTTCTTAGATGGTTTGTCAGCAAGTCTGTTCCTAAAATTCTCCCCTACACCTAATCCTGGCTTCTTGCTGATGCAAGATTATAAAAGGGGTGAGTGAGCCAGCCACGGACCTGGGTATGCTTTCAGTGTGGCTGCCACAGGAGAGAGTCGAACAGAATCTTAGGAACGGAACTTATTAAACAAAGTAGAGTATGTTTGGTGAACAATCAGTAGCGCAAAACCAGTCATGAGAAACCAAACCTGCTGCCTGATTACAAAGGACTGGCAGGGAGAGGTCTGAAGAGCACAAGGCTTAGGCTTACTGGACCTAGGGATTCTGAGAACTGTGTTCTTACGCAGAAGGGAAATGGCATCTGCATACCAGCAAGCACTGATGGGCAAGTTCATTCCCCAATATAAACTAGATATTCCCATTTTGCAAAGAAGAAATTAAGGGTCAGGAGAACTAAAAGGGGAGTGGTACTGGGCAGACTTTTTAATTCAGTATCAAATGAATAAAAGGTTAGCATTTCTACATGTGTAAGTGGGTCTCCTACTTTATCAGATCATTCTTTGGAAAGGTTTTAGCTCTATTTAGATTTTGTTACTACGTTAAAAGATTTCTTTTCAACTGCTGGGCCCACCCATGAGGCCATGTTAACACTTGAGTCTTGCTATAGTGAACATTTGTCACTGTATAGTTTGGGTAACTGACCTTGGTATTTGTATCCCAATTTACCACTTAATTTTCAGCTGTTCTAGATGCTGTTTTCCTTTATCTTCTTGTTAAGTGTTCTCTTTAATCCGTTCAAAATATTTCCTTGGCTAAGTCAAGTGTCCATATTCCCTCCTCACACTTAAGTGCTCACCAACTGCAAGGAATTCCTGTTACCTCAGAACTCTCTAAAACCCAGTGAGGCAGGCCCTATCGTTATAGATGAGTAAACTGATGCAGGAGGGGAAAAAGGAGCAGGGGCATGGGGAAGGATGCTAGGAGCAGGCTTAGCAGAGCCTGGTCTGAATCCTTCTACCCATTTACTAGCCTTTACCTCATGTTAACCTCTGAGCTCCCACAGACCCATCTGTGACATGGGGTTCTAACCATGGGATTGTTGTGCAGAATGACAGGACATGCTAGAGATCGGCACAGCATTGGCTGTTAGCTGATGGATGAAGATAAGGGGGAAAAACACTTAAATGTGGGTGTAGATCAATCTTTAGGTAAGCTCTTCACCCGTCAGGCTTGAACTCATGACCCCAAGATCAGAGTTGCATGCTCTACCAAACCAGCTAAGCGCCTCAGAATCGCTTTATGACCCGTTCCTCATGTGCACAAAGGATTCATCTCTAATACATGAGAACTCCAAAATTTGAATGACAGTAACATCTATGTACTACTATTCATTGCACTTCCTCAAGGTCTTAAGTTGATCATCCCTTACTTTTCTTGTCTAATCCATCTTTTTTTTTGAGCTTTAGGAAAAGGGTAGTGTGCTGTATGCAGTTTACCAGGACTTGTTCTTTATCTAACCTTACTTTTAAGAATTCCTCTATATCCAGAGCTCATTTTCAGGGCTGATAATTTAGGATCATTTGTTTTCTGATTGATGGAACTTTGAGGTTTTTGCTATCTTTTAAGTACTGCTTTAAACATTCCCAAAAATGCAGCAACATCCATAATGTAGTTTCTCTTGGGTAATGCATAGAAACATAATTGCTGGGTTGTGTTCAATTCTGTAAGGTACACCGACCATTAACCCATGTGGTTCTAAAACTTAACACTAATGGTCTTATACACTGGACAGCTGGGGCTATGAATCCTGCTTTTCACCAACTCCTGATCTCCTCTATTAAATGGGAGACAGGAAAGGGCAAGAAGTCCAGATGCCTGGCAACTAACAGATGCTCTTAAGACAAAGTAATCATATTTTATAAATCCAAATCTTAGGGTCCCCTGGCATTTTGAAGTGAACCAGTCTCCACACCAGTGCTCAGCCACCCCCCTTCCCCAAACCCTACTTCGTTAGTGTCAAATACAGGTTTGAATTTTGGTTTTAGCCTTTGTGTAAATAAGGACCCAAACCTGATTTTTGAGAGTGAGCAAGAGATCAGAGGGAGAGAGAGAAGACTTACCGCTGAGCAGGGAGCCCGATGTGGGGCTCAATCCTAGGACCCTAAGACCATGACCTGAGCCCAAGGCAGATGCTTAACTAAGCCACCCAGGTGCCCCATCAAACCTGAATTTACACCACTCCTTCAGTATTGCTGAATTATAAGCCCAGGGACATAGCAGTCTTCTACCTCTGATGGCTCAGCACAGCTCAAAAATTTGTAGCCAGGATTCTACTTGGGATTTTTAAGAGGCCTTGATTATACCACCACCGCTGCCTCATTCCTGTCAAGGGGACAAACCCTGTCGTCGTGAACTCACACAGGTGACCCCGACAAGGCATTTGCTCTGATCCTTCTCCCGCCTCTCCATGCGGTTCTAGATGCAATTATTAGGTACATTCTTGGTACAGCATGTGGCTGGTGTACTATTTCTCACCATGAGATGGTGGCAGGGGGAAAAAACTCAGCTGGTGTCATACAAGAAAAGGCTGAAAACCAGTGTTCCAGAAGGGAGATCATCCATACATAGCACATCCCCAAACAAATGGCAAAACCAACAGCAACCAAGAGTTCAGCTTTTTATTGAGCAGCTTATAGAAGAGGTTTAGTCAAAAAGACCAAAGCCCATGTCATCATCAGACTCCTCAGATTCTTCCTTCTTTGCTTCCACTTTCTTCTCCTCAGCTAAAAAACAGAAAGAGTCAATCACACACCTGCTCAATATTTTAAACTCCAAAGAGCTCCAGGCCCTTCAACTTACATGGTCAAAAATACCCTACCTTCCTTCCAACTATGTCCCTGATTTTAGGATTTCTACACATCATCTACTCTTAGCAAATGAAGTATTATAGGCAATATTGCTCTTCATCTCCACTCCTCCCTCCAATACCAAAAAAAGAAAAAAAAAAAAAGGTCTACCTGGGGCAGCAGTGGTGGAAGGAGTAGGACCTCCGGCTGGCGCAGTGCCAGCTGCTGGGGCAGGGCCACCAGCTCCTACATTGCAGATGAGGCTCCCAATGTTGACGTTGGCCAGGGCCTGCAACACACGTGCATACACAGATCACTCAGTTCTGGCCTTTTGTTATGGTACCCTCCCCCCTTTTGAACTGACAGCAAGCAATTCCCAACACTGTATTGTTCTTCTTCGCTGGAGTCTGCCAGTGACATTTTGTCTTCTGCTTGGATTAGACATAGATAGGGCCACACAGCTACATTAAAAATTAATCACACACACACACAAAAAACTACTCAAGCTTTAAATTTCACAATTGCATTGCCATACTTAAGTTTAACAAGACAGAATAACTAACTGAATTCCTTCCTTTTATAGATGAGAAAACTGGCCCACAAAAGCTGGCTTAAGTTGTTGGCAAACAACTCAAGCTTCCTTAAACACTCAAACCAGGATTCTTGCCACAGTTCCAAATTTCTTAACAGTGAATTCAATTTTTCAGACTGCTAAGTCCAGGGACTTTATTAAAGGCACAATGTTTTCAATCATTCAAAAGTCTCTGGACACAACCTGAAGAGATGAAGCTAACAGCCACTTGCCAAAGATTAAGTAACATATACAATAGAAAAGGAAGCCAATGCCAAGTTCCTTGGGTAGGAATCTTGTCTTCATTAGTCTTTTTAGATATCCCAACAAATAGTAAACGGTCAATGAAAGGCCACTACACCCAATTTCCATGAAATCAGAAAGAAGGATCTTCTTGGAACGGCATGGGTGGTGGTATCCCCTGGGTGACCCTTTTAATAAGGAAGTCATCTGGTGCGTATGTCATATATACATATACATACATGTACACATACATGTGTGTCTGTCATGGTTTCAGAACAGAAGAGAAACCAGATTGAAATCAAGAAGGAAAAGACAAGATAAACTTTAATTAGGTTCTAGATGTGGAGCTATAAGGAAATAGCACTTAAACTTAAAAAAGGTCCAGTGGAATATGGCACCTTCCAGTCTTTTTCGTGTTACATGAGCACCTGATTTAATAAATCAGTAATGTCCCCAAATTTGCTTCTCCAAATCACTTTGCTGCCACCAACTTACCTTTGCAAACAAGCCAGGCCAGAAAGGTTCAACATTCACACCCGCTGCTTTAATGAGGGCATTAATCTTATCCTCCTAAAAAAGATGAAACAGCAATCCATCTGAGCAAAGTGTAGTTTTCGTAAACGTCTCCAAAATACTGCAACTGAAAGTAAATCACTCAAAACGTGTGTACAAAACCATGTTTAACCACTTCAAATATTCTATCTGTATTTCATGTATGCTTATTTAAAACGACCATTTCTTACTCTTACGATTGCCACGAGCAAATGAAATGCACCCGGCTCCTGTGTGCCAGGCACCTTGCAAGGCGGCGAGCCCATCGCTGCCATTTCGCAGGCTGGGACTTGCCCAAGTCACGCCGCTATTTTAAGTTACGAGTCAGGGCGGGAGGTGGAGCGAGCTAACGTGCTCTCCACATCACGCAGCCTGGCCCAACAAGGCCTACCAAGTGGACCACAGGAATTCCAGGCCATCACACCAAACACGGATAGTGACCTACGTGAGGGTGAGGATGCCCACACGCCGCGGAAATTTTGCTAAAGCAAGCTTCCAAAGCCGGAGCGCGAAGCCCAAGTTTACTCCACTCCCCCAGGAAGCTGCAGCACGTGGCCGAGGCCCCCCGCCGCCCCGCACGTGGGTCCGCCCCGCCGCGAATGCCGATGGCCGCGGCTCCGGCCGGAAGGGCCTGGCAGGGAGACACGGCAGAGGAGAAAAACGGCCGCCCGCAGGCCGACCCCGCCGCCGGCCCGGGCCCGTACTCACCGTGACCGTCACCTCATCGTCGTGCAGGATGAGGGCCGAGTAGATGCAGGCGAGCTCCGAGACGGAGGCCATAGTGCGGGCGAGTGCTGAGCGGACGCTGCCGGGCGCGGTGCTAGTCGCCGGATGAAGTGAGGGCCTCACCCCAACGCGGCCTTAGCTTCCTCGGAAGGACCGAGCACCTTAGCGGCAACTGAGGAAAGGAGGTCCCGCGCTTGCGCGCAGCCTCTTATAGTGGTCACGCGGACCAATCGGTGCCCGCGCCTGGCGGAAGAGGCGGAGCGAGAACCGCCCGCGCCGACTACCGTTGGCGCCTGCGCATAAAGTGCGACTCGCTCGTTCGTTCAAAAAGTTGGTGGGTTCCTCCAACGGCGGGTTCTTTGGGTTAGGCTAAAACTCAGGACTGGCGAACAGTAAAAATATTTTTAGGAAAAAGTTATCTAAGTAAATGGCTTTCACCCCCATCTACTGTAGCCCGTGTGACACTATGTGGACATTTAATGACGCCGCCAGCCTCCCCTAGCTTGCTGTGACCACCTGGAGCGCAGGAGCTAAAATTCAGCCTGGAGGCCTCTGGTGCTTAGCGCCGCGTCTCGGATGAATTAAGTGATGTAAGAGGAAATGAGAAGCTTGCAGCGTGACGATAGCAATACCATTGGAACGCCTACTGTGTCCCAGGCACGGAGCCCCACTCTACAAGGATTCATTTAATCTTAATACAGCATAAGAAGTAAGTACTATTATAAGTATAAAAGACCTATTGGGAATGTAGGGGAACTTTCCATATCAACTTCATTTTTTGTAACTAAGGCACTCTGTGTTTGGGTGGAAGTGTCTTGAAACTGCCTGTTCAAGACTTCTTGAAGCAACTGCAGTCTGTCTAGGTGCTGCATTGCCATTTTGTATCTTTGAAGCTTAATAAAATTGGATTCATATTGAGAGTTGGGCTTTTTTTTTAAGTATAATTGACATAACATTTTTATTTCTGGTGTATAGCATAATGATTCGATATTTGTGTGTATTGCAAAATATATGTCAACCATTTTTAAGGTCTACTCTCTTAGCAACTTTTAAATATGAAACAATATTATTAACTATAGTCACCATGTTGTACATTACATCTAGTGACTTAAGACTGCAGGTTTGTAACTCTTGACTCCCTTCACCCATTCCACCATTCCCTCTGGCAACCACCAATCTATTCTCTGTATCTATGAGTTTGATTTGTTTATTTTTGTTTGCTGTTTGATTTCCACATATAAGTGAGATCATACAGTATTTGTCTTTCTCTTTTGCTTAGTGTAATGCCCTCAAGGTCCACCCATGTTGTCTCAAATGGCAAGGTGTTATACTTTTTTACAGCTGAATAATATTCGTGTGTGTGTGTGTGTGTCACATTTTCTTCATCCATTCATCCATTGATGGACACTTTGGTTGTTTCTGTGACTTGGCTATTGCAAATAATGCTGCAGTGAACATCGGAATGAATATATCTTTTCAAGTTAGCGTTTTTGTTGTCTTCTGTTAAATACCTGAGAGTGGAATTGCTTGATCATATGGTAGTTCTACTTTTAATTTGAGGGGGAACCTCTGTACTGTTTTCCACAGCGCCTGCACCAATTTATATTCCCACAAACAGTACACAAATGTTTCCTTTTCTTCACATCCTTGCCACCACTGGTTCTTGTCATCTTTTTTTTTTCAAAGATTTTATTTATTTATTTGACAGAGAGAGACACAGAGAGGGAACACAAGCAGGGGGAGTGGGAGAGGGAGAAGCAGGCTTCCCGCTGAGCAGGGAGCCCGATGCGGGGCTCCATCCCAGGACCCTGGGATCATGACCTGAGCCAAAGGCAGACGCTTAACAACTGAGCCACCCAGGCGCCCCTGTTCTTGTCATCTTGATGACAGCTTTTCTAACAGTTGTGAGGTGATATCTCACTGTGGTTTTATTGATTTCCCTGATGATTGGTAATGTTGAGCATCTTTTTCATGTGCCTGCTGGCCATCTGTATGTCTTTGGAAAAATACCTATTCAGATCTTTTGCCCATTCTTAATGAAATTTTTGTTGGTATTGAGTTGTAGGGGTTCTTTATTCCTTTTGGATATGAACCCCTTATCAGATAGATGATTTGCAAAAATTTTCTCCTATTTAGTAAGTTGCCTTTTCATTTTGTTGATGATTTCCTTTGCTGTCCGGAAGTTTTTAGTTTAATGTAGTCCCACTTGTTTAGTTTTTGTTGCCTTTGCTTTTGGAGTCAGATCCAAAAAATCTTTGCCAAGACCAATGTCAGGGAGCTTACCGCCTATGTTTTCTTCTAGGAGTTTTATGTTCCAGGTCTTACATTCAAGTTTTTATTCCATTTTGAATTAATTTTTGTGTATGGTGTAAGATGGTGGTCCATTTTCATTCTTTTGCATGTTTCTGTCCAGTTTTTCCAACACCATTCATTGAGGAGACTGTCCTTTCCTGATTATATATTCTTGATTCTTATGTCATAAATTAATTGACCGTATATGAATGGGTTTATGTCTGTGCCATTGATCTGTGTGTGTGTGTGTGTGTGTGTGTGTGTGTGTGTGTGTTTAAGATTTATTTATTTATTTCAGAGCCGGGGAGAGAGACAGAGATTGCCTGAGCACACAGGGGGTGGTGTGGGGAGGGGCAGAGGGAGAGGGAGGCAAGCAGACTCCCCACTGAGTGGGGAGCCTGACAGGGCTTGATCCCAGGACCCTGAGATCATGACCTGAGCTGAAACCAAGAGTCAGATGCTTAACTGACTGTGCCACCCAGGCACCCCTTAATATCCCAGATTTTAAAAACGCTTTAAAAGCTATCAAGCTTTCTAAAAATAAAACTTATTTTGAGTTTTCATCCAAATCTAGAAGCAATTATCGTGGAATTTGGGTGGAAAAAGGTAAAGCTATTGAAAAATTCAAACATTTCCAAAGCCAAAATGAATCAGTCTAAAACATAGTCATCCCCCTTTCCCGCCCCTAGTGTACTTCAAAACAAAATAAAACAAAAACTGATCTGGCAAATATACATCAACAAAAAGTAAAACAAAATATTGCCTCTCTTAAACTGTACTAATAAGGGACCTTTTTACATCAATGTTTTGTTCCCCAAATAGTTTTATAACTGTAGTAGTAAAACCTGAACCTTAGAATATAAGAAAGGTAAATTGTAAGTTCTTCTCACTTATAAATGTAAACACAAAAATCTAAAATGTGAATGTCAATTATATCAGTAAAACTGGAAAAACTTAAAGATTAATGAACTGAATCCAGTACTGTGTGTCAAAATATGGTATATTATGACTAAGGATAGTTCAACATAAAAGCTATTAAAAGTAATCCATTAACAAAGAGGAAAATCTAGATGAAATTCTTACAGATTCAGAAAAACCACTTGATAAAATTAAGTAACTATTAACATAGATTCTTAGAAAATTGGAAGAAAAGGTAGCTTCCATATCCTGATAAGATATCTACTAAAAATCTACAATAAGCATCATACTTAATGGTGAAACTTAAAACCTACTCTTTAAAATCAGGAACAAACAAGGATGTGTCCTTCCTCTGCTTCTACTTCAATTATGGTTTTAGAATTTACCCATCTTCATAAGACAAGAAAAAGAAAAGGTATTAAATTGGAAAGTTGTGAACTCTCATTATTCATAAATAATATGATAATTTACCCAGAAGTTCCAAGAGAATCCATAGACAAACAAATCAGCCTAATAAGTAGTTCAGCAAAGTAGCTAGATTCAAGATTAATACACAAAAGCCAGCAGCATTTCTGTGTTCAGCAAAAGTCAGTTACAAAATGTAGTATTAAAAAATACACCTCATAAAATAGCAACAGAAATCATATAGTTTCTAGGAGTAAATCTAACAATTTATGCATGATCATTATTTTTAAAATTACAAACTTTATGGAACATCAGACGCAACCTAAATAGAGTGGTACACGATATTCACAGATGAAAAGATCTTCAAGTGGGTAATTCTCTTCAAATTATATAATTTCAGTCAGTATTCCATAGGAATATTCCAATATTCCACTGGTCAAATTCCATTCCAAAAACCAGTTGACCTTAAATTTTCATGGAAGGATCAAGGACCAATAAAAATGAAGGCAGTGTTTTAAAGTAAGAATAGAAGCTTTACTTAAATGTTAGTTCCATGGAGGGCACACACTTTGGTTTGCCACCACATTAATTGTGCCTAAATAGTGCCTGGCACATAGGGGGCACTCAAACAAATACATGCTGAATGAATTAAAACTATGTTATTGATATACAAGTAGATAAACAGACCAATAGAACAGAGAACCTAGAAATCCACTCTCATACATATGGGAACTTGGTAAGTCAGAGGTATGACTTTATAAATGGGGAAGTGGAGTGGTTAGGGGGAAGAGTACCTTTTCAAAAAAAACATAACTGGGACAGTTGATTTTCTATCCATATGGAAATGTGGAAAGAATATTTTTAAGTCCGTCCTCATCATATATAATGTGAAAAGAAAAACTCTAAAATTTTAGAGGAAAACAGGAATTTATTATTGAGTATATGAAAAATTTCTTAAGGCACAAAAACATAAAGGAAAAGATTCATAGGTTTGATTACATTAAAATTGAAAACTACAAGCCAAAAGAAACCATAAACAACATCTAAAAAAACTGTTATAGCCAAGAGCCTAAGGAAACACAATGACTAAATGTGATATGGTTTCCTAGATGGGATCCTGGGAAGGACAAAAGACATTAGGTGAAAAATAAGGAATTCCAAATAAAATATGGACTTTAGTAAGTACCAGTATATCAACATTGGTTTATTAATTGTAATACATATTAATATGTTAATAATAGGGGAACCTGGCTGTGATTATAAGGGAATTCTTATCACAATTTTTTGGTAAAACTAAAATAATTCTAAAAATTAAGTTTATTTAAAAAAAAAAAAATCACCGTAACCGAAGTAAAAAAAAAAGGTCAGATTGGGAGAAGATAGGAGGTCCAAAGTACCCAAAAGCTATATAAAGTCCTGCAAACCAGTAAGAAAAGACACAACTGTCTTGTTTTGCAAAACATCAAAAATTACCAAGTAAGGGGCACCTGGCTGGCTTAGTCCATAGAGCATGTGACTCTTGATCTTGGGGTCCTGAGTTCAAGCCCCACACTGGGCATAGAGCTTACTTAAAAAAACAAAACAAAATTATCA